ACTAAAAATATAAAAATTAGCCAGGCATGGTGGCATGCACCTGTAATCCTAGCTACTTCCGGAGCTGAGGCACAAGAATCACTTGAACCGGGAGGTGGGAGATTGCAGTGAGCGAGATGGCACCACTGCACCCTAGCCTGGGTGACATAAGTGGGACTTCGTCTAAAAAATAAAATAAAATAAAAAGAAGGAAAGAAAGAAACCAATGATACCATGCAACCTAGGGCTACTTGAGGAAGAAAGAGTGACATTTGGTAGAAGACTTTAGAGCAATGCAAGATAAATTTACCATAGAATGTTATTAGTATGTGGTGCCCCCAATCCGTATTAGGTACTGTGTGCCATAGTAACAATAAATAAAAGCCCCTATCGAAAGGTAGAATGCTTTCTCCTAGCAGCCCAGCCTCCCATCCGTGAACAAGAGGAAGTGAATCTGCTTCTACCTACTGGACCCAATCAAAAAAAATGTTTTAAATTAGCTGGGTGTGGTTGTTCACGTCTGTAATCCCAGCATTTTGGGAGGCTGTGGTGGGAGGATTGCTTGAGTCCAAAACCTTGAGGTTATAGTGAGCTATGGTTGACATATGACACATATATAGATGTCTATGTGTGACATGTGATGTATGTATGATGTGCATGTACACACACACAATTGAAGCAATATAGAATAAATTTTTAACAGTGGCATTATTTCCAAAGAGTAACATCATCAAAGTTTTTCACTTTCTATTCTATCATTTTACTACTGCTTGGGTACTATAAGTAAGCATCGTTACCAATTGTTCATTTTAAGATATGGTATATATGTCTTTCAATGTCAAGACACGGAGTTTAGCCAATGAAAGCTGTTAACAGCATCCAGTGATTTCTATGGGGAGACCATTGTGCCAAGGGTTTTTTTGACCTCATTTCATCAGAAAGGAGAGACAACAGAGGTGATTTTGTGGTCTCTCTTGTCTTGGATGGAAGGATAAGTGAGAGACCCAGCATGGGAATGCAAACAGTCCCACACAGAAGGGGCCCAATTCAAAATTTATTTGCTCCCACTTTGGGCCTTTTCTTGGCAAAAAATGAGGACAGGTAAGAACACTTCTATGGAACCAGTTCCATGTTCATTCCAAATCTCTTAAAAATGGTTAAATAATAATGATTTTTCCCTCCCTCTCTTCCTCTCTCTCCTTCCTTCTCTCTTTTTCCTTCCTTCCTCCCTTCCCTCCCTTCCCTTCCCTCCCTTCCTTCCCTCCCCTTCCCTTCCTTCCCTTTTCCTCCTTCCCCCTATTCCTTCCTCCCTCCCCTGCTTCTCCTCCCCTTCCCTTCCCTCCTTGTCTTTCTCTAAAATCCATCTTCCTTCCTTCCCTTCCCTCTCTTCCTCCTTTCCTCCCCTTTCTCCGCCTTTCTCTCTTCTTCTTTCTCTCTCTTTCTTTCTCTTCCTTCCTTCCTTTTCTCCCTTTCATCTCATCTTCTCTTCTCTTCTTTTCCTTTTCCTTCCTCTCCTTCCTTCCTTCCTTCCTCCTTCTTCCTTCCTTCTTCCTTCCTTCTCTCTCTCTTCTTTCCCTGCCACCCCTCTCAACAGAGTTTTGCTCTGTCACCCAGGCTGAAAGGGCAGAAGGGCATATCACACGCTCGCCCAGCAATCCTCCTGTCTCAGCCCTTCCTGAGTAGCTAGGACTACAGGTATGTCCCACCACACCCAGCTAATTTTTATGTTTATTATTATTTTTTAGAGATGGCGTCTCACTGTATTGCCCAGGCTGCTATCAAACTCATGGGCTCAAATGATGCTCCCACCTCAGCCTCCCAAAGCACTAGGATTACAGGCACAAGCCACTACACCCAGCCAAATGTTCTTTTTCACCAGGCTACATACACTCCCCTTCACTGGAGTTCACACCACTCCCTAATGTCTCACACACAGCTTATCTCACTCGTTTACATTATGGGCCAGGTTTCTGAAGGCACCTGAGTCTGTGCTCCCACTGACGGTTATAAAATGACATTTGTGAGCAATGCTCGTGAATTGGTGGGGTAGGGGGAGTCCAGATTCTACATTAAACAGCTCCATGGCACCCACGCAGAAAAGATTCCTAGAAGGGATTTGCCACCCAGGGACCTAGGGGAAGGACACAAGACCACTCTTACTTTTCTCACAAAATGGGGGGTCGCTGCTCCAGCTGAGGTCCCACTGGCAGGTGAGGGTGTCACTGCCCACGATGTCGTAGCCGGGGTCACACTGGTAGGTGATTCTGGCTCCCCGCACCAGCTCCGTGTGAGAAGTGGTTTTCCAGCCATTCTGGATCTCGGGTAAATCTGAGCAGGAGTCATTCCTTGACACCTCTTTAAAAGAGAAACGTCAGCCTTAGATGGGGGAAGCGGTCTTATTCTTGGGGCCTCCTTTTATGAAGGCTAGAGGGATGAGCGAAGAGAAAAAAAAGCCTCTAGAAATGAGCAACACGCTTCCAAAATCACTTAACTGGCAAGAGCTCGTCGATAGTGAGGCTTTATGGTTACCTCTCTCTGGGGGCCACTGAACTCACTGAACATTGTCTTGGTTTGATAAAACCAGTCTAGGATTTCGAGTCAGACAGAATCCTAGCTCTGCCACTTACTAACGATGTGATGGGGAGACAATCGCTTTTTGACTCTGCAGCTCAGGTTCCTTGACCTTTCATGAGGGAGTAATTATAACGGCATCTGCCTCACTGTGGCCGCTGCTCACCGGATGTCACTGGATGACTCTTGCCTCCGAGGGTTTACACTCTTCTAAAATTTTTTTTATTTTTGTTTTTTATTTTATTTTTGTTTTTCATTTATTATTATTATTATTGTCATCATCGTTATTTTTACAGGCAGGGTCTCTGTTGCTCAGGCTAGAGTGCGAGGGTGTGATCATAGCTCACCACAGCCTCAAACTCCTGGGCTCAAGTGATCCTCCCACCTCCGCCTCCTAAGTAGCTGGGATGACAGTCATGTACCATCACGGCCTGGCTAATTTTTAAAAATTTTTCTGTAGAGATGAGGTCTTGCTATGTTGTCTGGGCTTGTCTTGAAGCCTTGGGCTCAAGCAATCCTACTGCCTGGGCCTCCCAAAATGTTGAGATTACAGGCATGAGCCACTGTACCTGGCAGAATTTACACTCTTGTGTAGTCCTCACCAACACTGAATAGGGGATTGGAAAAGTGGCCCTGGGTGGCTTCCGAGGTTAGGTCATAACCACATTGAGGTTCTCCCCTTGCTCTCTGTTGAATCACTCGTTTCAGCAGAAGCAGCTGCCATATTGTGAGGATGCTCAAGCAGCCCTCCAGAGAGACCCACAGGAAGAGAAACTGAGGCCTTCTGTCAACAGTTGGCATTGACGTGCCAGCCACATGTGTGAGCCGTTTGGAGGTTCATCATCCAGTGCTCATCAAGCCTTCAGATGACTGCAGCTCTGGCTGGCATCTTGACTGGAGCCTCATGAGAGACCCCAGGGCAAAGTCATCCAACTCATGCTACTCCTGAATTTCTAACCCAGAGAAACTGCAAGATGATAAATGTTTACTGCTAATTTGGGGTATAATCTATGACACACCAATAGGTGGTTAATATGCTCAGCTTCATCCTAAGAATACCTATAAATCCATGAGTTTGGTGAATAAGTAATATATGCATTTTTAATATTCATTAAGAGAAATAATTAGCTATCAAAATAAAAACAAACTGGGCACTGTGGCTCCTGCCTGTAATCTCAGCACTTTGGGAAGCCAAGGCAGGAGGATTGCTTGAGCCCAGGAGTTTGAGATCAGTTTGGACAATATAGGGAGACCCCTTCATCTCTACAAAAACAATAACAAAACTAAAACATGAGCCAGGTATGATGGCAAGTGTCTGTAGTCCCAGCTACTCAGGAGGCTGAGGCAGGAGGATTGCTTGAATCCAGGAGTTTGAGACTGCAGTGAGCCATGAAGGCATCACTGCACTCCAGGCTGGGTGACAGAGTGGGACCCTGTCTCAAAAGAAAAGAAAAAAAAAAACCAATTTGAACAAAAATAAATAAAAATAAACGGTTGGTATATTCTTCAAATCCAATTGCATATCATTAGTGAACATGAAGCATACTCCAGAAAATGCTACCCGCAGCTTATTACTGTGTCTTTCTCTGTAATTGTTCTGTTTTTCTCCTACAAACTCTTGTTACTAAGGTAGCAATGCATGGAAAACTATTACTATTCTTGCTTCAAAGTGCCCACTGCACAGATTTGGAGGAGCGAGCTAATTCTGTTGTATAATTAATTTGCAGTTCTTATGTGCTTCTGGGGAACGCAGAGCACCTCCGCCGTCTGCAGGAAAGTCATTCTGAGAACCAAGCAATGGCTTTTCCCGGGATTTCATCATGATTTTATTTGGGGAAAGGAGATCTCATGGGTGTCTGCAAGAAGAAGGGTAAGAAAATAGCTTTGAGAATTGCTTGGTGGGGGGACAGGAGCCTCTATTTTTAGGCCTCTGAAAAATCAGCCAAGCCCTGGATTTGGGACACAGCTGCAGATGCTCAGACTGTGGATGAAAGGGGAGAAATGGGAGCAGACACCAGAAATGTGGTCTGCCTTGAGCCAAATGCTTTGAGACGGAGAAAGGCTTGTTTGTCTGATTTTTCAATATGGGCCACCACGGCTTCACACTCCCGTGGGACCTCCTGTCTCCTTGGTGGCACCCACTGCATTTGTAATTTCTCAGTTGCTGCCACGATGTAGAAAAAGCTTGGCTTAAATCTTGTCCCCACTGTTTACTAACTGGGTGGCCTTGGCTAAGTCACTTAACCTTCCTGTTCTTCAGATCCCGGGGCCTGTACCCCAGGGACCCTGATTCAGGAACACGCATTTTTACCAAGCACCCTAAGTAGAGGCTTCTAGAATGGTCCATCCCCATGGGTCCTTGTTAACTTTGCTAAGAATTAAAAAACTGCCCTATAACCTTCTTGTTCTTCGGATTCCAGGGCCTGTACCCCAGAGACACTGGTTTAGGAACATGCATTTTTTTACCAAACACCCTAAGTGGAGGTTCTGGAATGGTCTGTTCCCATGGGCCCTTGTTAACTTTAGTAAGAATTAGAAAACTGCCCTAGGAGTTGGAAGACTTCTTTTCTAGTCTTCTTTCTTTTTTAAAGAAATGGTGTGACTCCAGTCATGCCCATTAACTGCTCTAAGCCTCATTGTTCTCATCTGCAGAGTGGAGTCAATAATTATTGCATTGCCTATTCCAATGGGCAATGTGAAAGTTAAGTAACATGCAGGATATGATGATGTTGTGTGAACACTAAGATGTGTTAGATGGATTCATTTGTTTGTTTGACTGAGATATTATGAGCATCTTATTAGACGCTAGAAATACAGGGATCTGAAGTCATGGTTTCAGTCTCATGGTCAAGATTAGCATCAAGGTTCAATTTTTGTGCAAAAGAAATGCACAAATGCACTTAATACACACCACCATCTACCATTTCATGCTCATGGCAGACATCACTAATCAAGCACAGCCTTCTGTTTGTTTGAATCAGGCGGAAACCTCCCAATCCTCAAAACAGCACTCCAGGGAGCCACTGTCATTTGATTGGAGTTGACTTACAATATGGAGCTTAGTTATTATCCTGGACTCAGGGGAATAAACACACAACAAATAACCGAAGTCTTCTCAAAAAGTACTGCTTACTTGCCTCTGTTTCTTAATCCCTTCCATCCCATGCATTTGGCCATAGACAGTGGGCAAAGAACAGGAAACAGTGAATGGGTCTTTGCATCTCTCTGTTCAAAGGTGAATTCTGGGAGGTAGAATTCACATTCCAGAACCATGTAGGCCCAGAGTCTTCCTGTGGAAGGCTCTAATTGCAATCATAGCAGATAAACTTTGGCCACCTTCCAGAGCTGGGCTTAGGCATTTAGGTCAATATAGGAGCTTCAGAATTCTCTAGTGACCACAGGAACCCCTGACCCTACCATCTGATGCATCCATTGAATGGGAGTTACATATGTGTATGGTAAAATCTAGATCCAGAATGGCAAATACCCTTCTCATGCCCATGGCAGGCATCACTAATCAATCATGACATTCTTTGCCATAGACTTTAGGCATGACCTCCTTGGAGTTCTTTCAACATGGTCTTCAACATAAGTAGTAAGCAACTGAGTGGCATCACAATTAGCTAGAACGGTCTGTTTGCCATCCTTGTAAAATTAACTGTGTGTCTCTTTAACATGAATAACAATCAAGAGCTGTTCTCTCTTTTTTTTGTTACCCAAACTAGCCAAGCTGTGTATCCTTGAAAAACATTCTCTGCAATCCTTTGCCTGCCTCTTCCCCAGCATCAGCTTGTGATCCTGATATTGTCTATTAATGGGACTGCCTTTCTCGTTTCCACTAATGCCTTAAGGGTAGGGAGAATATTCTATTCATCTCTATATCCTGGTATGCAGAGCCTACCAAATAGGAGGTGTCAAGGGATTTTTTTATGAACCAAATCCTCTGGAAAATGGAGATAATGCATTTGAAGATAATATAAAATAATATATGTTAAAGTGCTTGCCGACTGTAAGTTGTCATACAAATCACAAAAAGTTTCAACTTCAATTAACAAGAACACTTCTTCTTCAAGAAAGTGAACACTGGCCAGACTTTCTGGTTAACCTTGATCAGCCTTGGATAGAGTCAGAGTCAGATTTTTTTTTTTTTTTTTTTTTTGGCATCAAGCTGAATGCAGGTTTGGAATACTGACTTGGGCACTAGGGGAGATAAATGAGCAAAACCATGACCTCATCTTTCAGTGGAGAGGGAGAGGACATCTAAGGAGAGAGACAGGAGCCAGGAGACCAGAGATTCCTCCAAAGGCAGCTGAGTCTGGAGGGTGTATTGCCTGGACAGCCAACATGAGTTATCCCCTGAAGCCCAGGGCACTGCCCAGAAAAGAGCAGGGAACCCACACAAAATTGTAGCAATAACATTCTGAAAATATTTAGCAGCACAATCAAAGGTAAAAAGGCCCCTGGGAAACATAAAAAAGAAGATCAATACTTGTGTTAGCCTCTCTGAGAAGAGGACATGTAGCAGGCAGGGATGAAAAATGTTCACCATATGGAAATAAAAACACAAGAAATGTACTTTGGCATGCATGAGGCTTCTTGAGACAGCCCATGGTCAAGGGGGTAGCTTGGTTTTTTAGGTGCAAGTGCTGGTACAGAGGACAATTCATATTATTAGGTTGTTGCAGAAGTAATTGCAGTTTTTGCAAATTAAAACTCCAAAAACCGTAATCACTTCTGCACCAACCTAGTTAGAGATGGACAATTCTTTTTTTTTTTCTTTTCTTTTCTTTCCTTTTCTCTTT